CACCTGAAACCCGTTTTCTTGGCCCCACGGCAACCCTTCACAGGTCTGTTGGCTTCAGGCTTGTGACTTTTGCAAGTCAGTCTGGATATGGATTGGGGTAGTGACGGGTTCCAGGGTCTGGTGTCTGGTTTCCAAGGATTGAAAGGGTACACAATGTAGGGACCTCCACCTGAAACCCGTTTTCTTGGCCCCGCGGCAACCCTTCACAGGTCTGTTCTGGAAGGAGTTCGAAGAGGACAGCAAAGCAACTGTGCAGGATGTCTTGTGTTCTGGGACGACTGTCTTAAGCCAAGGCTGTAGCCAAGAGGCCGTGGCAAGATCTCTGGATGATTGCAGCAGAGCACGCACGGTTTTCCACGAGTACTTGGAACAGAAGCTTCGGTGCTGGAAGGAGATGCCGTGGCGGCTTGCAGCCCTCAACCATCCAAACTCGGACGTTTGCCGACAACACGCTCGAGAGATCTTGGCTTTTCTCGAAAGCAGTCCCAAGCAGGCCAGTCTTCACCATAGGGTCACTTGGAAGTTTCTGGAGCCAGAGTCTCGCTTGCTCGCGCAGCTGAAGCAGTTTGCAGCAGCAGATGCGGAGATGCAAACTCTGCCCGAACTCTGGCAAGTCGTGATGGAGCTCCGGTTCATTCCCACTTGTGAGAGGCTCCAGGAGGGAGACCATGCTATCGTGAAGAGGGCCCTAGGAGAGAATCGCCGAGCTTCCGGACCTTTCGTGTCCATGGCCATCCGCATGCCGGAGATAGAAGCTTTGTTCGTGAAGCCAGAGGATTGGAAGGACTTCTTGTCCCAATGGCCGAAGATCCAGCGGCCGGACGAGGCAGCCAAGCGGTTTGGGCTTGTTGGACATCCGTGCTACAAAGCCGCCTGCGAAGAGAAGGCTGGCAGCAAAGAGAAGCGTGCCGTGCTGGCCGTGTCGCTGTACAACCTTGATCCAGAGCTGCAGTTCCTGAACAAAGCAAGGCTTCGGAAGAAAAAAACCGCAGATGCGGATCGCATCAAAAAGAGCAGGCTGAACTTTTTCAATCAGCAGAACCCGGAGTTGCGCCAGTGGAGTGTGGACAATGTGGAGCACAGGGCAGCCGCAGTGCACTTGCACGCACGGATGGAGGCAGGACGCTTGTACTCAGCCCCACCAGGCGCGGTTGCTTTGCCACCTTTGGAACAGAAGCTTAAATCCCTTCGTGCCGCACCAGCCTTGCAGCCCGAAAGCGCTTTTGCCTTAGAAGCGGACGGGGACGCCTGGATGCTTCCGGACAAGACAAACCCATTGGACTTGTTTTTTTGACGTGGCATGGTATTTTTTCTCCGGGGTTTTTGTCATATAAGTCATATAAGGAATAGAAAGATCTTTTTCAATCCTATCCCAAGCATAAGCATAAACTAGGTCTGCCTCCGATGGCCACCCTGATTCAGAGCCGGTCCTCGACGTTGCCGTGGTGGATGCAGAAGCAACTTTGCCATCGGGTCCAATCACATTCTTCCGGCTGAGTTCTCAGAAGGGCGGCAGGCGAAGGCTGGTCCCTTTGCCTGCGGCGAGTGGCCAAGGTCTTGCCGCGACAGACGTCACTGTTTCCATGCATGAGTTCTTGCAGCGAGAAGGTTCTTGTTATGTCAAGGTCGAAGCCAGCAAAGCTGCAGGTGTTGTGTCTCCAGCAGCCGTGATATCCCTTGATCCACAGACTGCGAAGACCTTACCCTGCAATTTACAGAAGTGGTCTACTTGCAAGAAGCTCGTGTACATGCTGACAGGCTTCCCTGTCACAGATGCAGTGCTGCAGCTACTTGAGAAGTTCGTTTCCAAGGGCGCTTTTCCAGGTGCAAGCATAGAGCATCATTTGCTTGTGCTACGAAGCGATTCAGAGATGTTCATGTTGTGCCAAGAATTGCAATTGCAAGGATTTGCCAGATGTGTCAGAGAAGCATCCGATGAAACATGGTGGGTTTTGACTGACCGAGCTTTAGCGAATCTTGTACACATGCACGAGATCTGCCGCCCTTCTCTCGTCTTCCCCCCGGTAGAGAACTTGCTGGAGCTTGTTGCAGGGAATAGTTCAGCAGTGAAGCAGTTCACATCTTGGGAAATGTTCAAGGTCCTCGAGCACAAGGGCTTCCAGCTTTGCAAACTCCCACAGGCCAAGGCAGCAAGACGTGCGCTTCCACCTCTGACTTTTCAGAGCGAGCGGCCAAAATGGTATGTCCGTGACAAGACTTTGCAAACCACAGCAATGCAGCTCTACATGCAAGCCTTGGTCGTTTCAGACACTCTCTTTGCGGGCCATGTGTCCTGGACATATTTGATTTGGTGTGTTTGGCCGCCTTAAACCTTGATTCAGCCTGAAGCTTTCTTCCTTAAAATTCCCGAACCTTTCCCAGAGCCCCAGAAGTTGAGTCCCATATTCCTGGCCTTGTAAGCCGTCCAAGCCCAGGTCTCTTGCATTCACCACGGACAAAACATGCACTATTATGCAGAACTCCTAGATGCTGAGTCCATGGCAACAGGGGATCTGCCGGAGGCTGTAGAAGATGGGCAAGACAGCCAGAAATTGCAGCTGAAAGGCGCCCAAGATGAGGATGCTTTGCTGTGCATGGATGATGCGTTTGCAGAGAGCGAGCCAAGACAGGCTTCCCCCCCGAAGCCTCCGCTTCCACTTCCATTGCCGCGGCATCGACCTGCGTCGAAGGTGAAGGATACGACCATGACAAGTTCTGAGGCTTCTAGTGATGATGATGTTGTGGATGCGCGCGACCCACCTTCTCCTGCTTCCCACGGGCACTCAGAAGCGGCAGGTGTTTCTGATTGGTTGCTTGAAGATGATGATGAAAATGCAGAGGGGCAGGATCCAACACTGCCGGCGCCGCCTGTGGAGCCCTTGAGTCCTGCTGCTGCAGATGCGCAGCAGCCCTTGTGGTCGTTGTTGGGACTGCCAGCACCGGTACCCAGGTCCCCAGGTGATCATCCGTCCGATTATTCCCCTTCGATGCCTCCTGATGAAGATGAGCATGCAAACAACGGCCTGACAGAAGAGCTGCTGCAACAGCTGGGGTCGGAAAACTTCGCTATCCCAGGTGATTCTGCACAATTTGAGCTCGAGCCGCCGACTGCGATTTCCACAGCTGTTGAAGCGCAGGCAGACACAGGGGATGCATCAACGATTCCTGCAGCGGTTGCATCCTTTACAGATGCAGGGGATGCATCAGCGATTCCTGTAGCTCCTGATGTTCAACCCGACCCGGGGGTTGTGCCTCCGCCTCCGATTCCTGAAGATGGAGAAGGTGCCTCTAGACTCCCCAGAGCACCGAAGCTACACCCTGATTCGTTTTCGTGGGGACACTTTCGATTCACATTTTCGGATGCCACGAAGCGACCGCCGCATGGACAATGGCAGGCCAAGTGTCGGTTTCATATGCTCAACCAGAAAACCTTGTGCACACGTGCCATGAACGTGGGCCCCAGTGATGAAAGCAAGGACCTGGCTTTGAGGCTGCTGAAGGGCTGGTGTTTGGCAGCCCCCCAGCATGAGCGCAAGAGCACACACGCCGCCATACCGTTACAGCAGAAAGATGCCTTACCCCATGAAGTGTTGGATGCCAGGCAGCGTGACATGCCACCTGTGCCTGTCAACGTGGTTTCAGATGCCGAGCTGGATGCTATGGCCGCCGCCGAAATGCACGCTTCCCCGAGAGCGTCAGCAAAACGCAAAAGAGGAGCTGCTGAGTCTTCTTCTGCGAGACCGAAGGCCAAACCGGCAGCCAAGGTTGCAGCTAAACGTCAGGCAAAAAGCAAAGCCAAAGTAAAGGCCAAGGCGAAGGCAAAAGAAAGATCAGCGGCAAGCAAGGCGGAGGCCAAGGCCAAAGCGTCGGCTGCCTGGGCCTCTGCTGATGAGGCCGGATCAGACCCGCCGACCAGCAGCGGCAGCAGCAGTGGCAGTAGTAGCAGCAGCTCGTCATCAAGTTTATCCACTGACTCAACGTCCGATTGAGGAGCGCTCCTCATGACAAGATCTGGCCTCTCCGGTCCCTGCTTCTTTTGTGCGAGACCATGCAGTCACCAAACCGAAGTTGCGACGAAAGCACAAAAACGGGCTCGGCTTGGTCTTGCAGTCATTGCATTCTGTTCGGGTGATTATGATTACCTACTCTGGCATCGTACTTTGAAATTTTGAGAAGCGAGGCACCAACATCAGCGGTCCAGTCCGAGTCGACTGGTGTCTGCGATTGTCGACGAGAGGCCACTGGGCTGTGCAGCCTAGTTTGTCGTCCATTTAATTATCAGATAGCAGATAGCAAAGCCTGCAAAATCTGGCAGTAATGTGCAGTGCAGGGTTCAGAAATAGGCCGTTGTGGCTACGAGCAAGGAAACATCTTATCAAGTTGGTGTCCGGTGTCCGCCGTGTCGCCGCTTCATGCTTCATCGTCATCAGGCTCTGGCGTCAGGGCAGAGGCGGCGAGGCATCGGCCGTCGGCCGAAGTGGCCCAGTGCCCAGCTTCAGCTTTGATTTTGCATTGCGAGGTGAGAAAGGTTGTTGTAGTGAGGGCTGCAGCTTCTGACTTCTAGTGGCTTGTTAGGAGTGTCAAAGTCCTGCAAGTACATAGTCTGGGACATATGCCACCCACCCGAAGAGCCGCCCGCTCCCTTCAGGCTGGCCCAAGTGGACCGCTGCATCGCCGCTGGGACCTTAGAGGTTTCGGGGTTTCGGTTGCAAGGCGGGTTTTGGGTAGGTCGCAAGGTAGTGCTCCGAGTGCGCGATTTGCCTGGCTCCGCCCCGGCCCGGCCCGGCCCGCCCCAATCGGGAACCCCGGCCCCCCGCCCCACTCGCTGTGCCCAGGTGGAGTGGAGCGACTGGCGTCGTGCGGCAGGGAGCTGAAAGGTTTTGGCTTTGGGGTTTGGGTCCTTTGCTTGGAAGGCGGGGGTTTTGCAAGGTAGTGCTCGGAGCGCGTGCATGTGTGCCGGGAGGGTCAGGAGTCCTGGAAGCTTGCTGGGGTTTGTTTTTTTTTAGGAGGGTCTGGAACTTCCAGCCCTAATGCCTAAACCATCACAAACCCTAATTCTTAAACTCCGATACGGGGGCTCTGATGGTGTGGGCTGCTGTTAGCAGTGTGGGCTAAGCTGTTTTACTCTTTGCGGAAATATTCGATCTCAATGCACTCTTAGCATCGGATTGCTACTACTGCTGCTACCACTACTGCCTACTGCCTAGTGCACCTGCAGCTGCTGGTGCTAGTGCTAGTGCCAGTGCTAGTGCTACTGCTACTGCTACTGCTACTGCTACTGCTCTGCTACTGCTACTGCTACTGCTACTGCTACTGCTACTGCTACTGCTACTGCTACTGCTACCGCTACTGCTACCACCACCACCACCACGACTACGACTACTACTACTACTACTACTACTACT